TGCCTTGAGTCTCGAGTGGGACGCTACTTGGGTCTAGGTAGGACTGGCTGACGACGGCTAATAAGCCAGAAATAGCCATTCCAGTCTCCCTCGTCTTCTCCGCTAATACTATCTGAGTACCGTTAGTCTTTTATTTCTCCGCATAAAGCAACAGCAACAGCTTCAATTAATCAGATTAGAAGCCCTAGATCCCTCAAAACTCTGATAGGTTGATCGTCCGAGACGATGACTTTCTCCGTGTGCTCCACGGCGTGCATGCAGCAATTGGGACTTGCGCTGCATCTGCCTCACTCTCACCTGCGTTACGATCGCAAGATGCGGTCAGAATGAAAACGATTGGACGTGGGCGTGGTAGGTAAACAGAGGTAATCCGTTTATCTTCCCGTGGCCTAACTTCTACCAGTCTTTGGTGAGGGCGACCCAGAGTAAACATGGGTGACAGTTTTGTCAGTCCTGGGAGATATCGAGCTGTTCAGTCAGTTGACGGCTTTCTAATACACAACAGATTCAAGCGTACCTGATTTCTTCCAGTGAAGAATACGCTGACGTCTCAGAAGAATTGGGACCTCAATGTCGAACGATTAGCGCAAACCATGCGCCAAGCTGATCCCATTGCAGTTGAATACACGCAGTCTCTTGTAGGAGCCAAACCCTTATTCTCGGAATAAATGACAAGGCGTGACAAGCATGAATAAATGCGAAGAGTTGCGTTCTAGGTATTTGCATGAATAAAGGAGAAGACTGGGTGGGCAATAGAGTGGTTTGTTTATTGTTCTGAACTTTCGAACTCGTGCAGGGGTTCACCGTCAGAGATAACAACAGCAGCAGGAAGAAAGGCGAAAAATATAAGGGTCAAACCAATCAATTAGCAATGACACCCGTCTGTAGCTGACTGCGTAGGACTCTGTTCTCCGGCGTCAAATCGATACATAGATTGTTTGAGTCCCCATCCGTGGGCCAAACTTCAATCAGTTCTCGGCTCGTCTTATTTCCGGCGTGGATGAGTATCATAACGGCTGTAAGTTTCGTAGGTGTGAGGAGAAACTTGCGATAATTAATCGCTACGCTGCACAGACGGTTTATGTTCATGTATGGGCGATCCAATCACACGTTCAGTTTGACCCGTGTAATTACAAGGACAGTTTTGACACGGAATGCGATACACTACCTCAGATTGCTCTTTGGGATTTAGCCGTTATTTTATTTTCCTTACCCTGTTGGGTCGCTGTGCAAATCCAAGACCTAATCCCGCAGCGATACGGACAGTCGCTTCTGGGACATTCCTGGTGTACGGATGTGGTGCTTCTGGTTGGGTCCTCCGGGGCCGAACGTGCAAGCATAAACTTTTAAACGCCTTCCGATATCAATGCACCACGAATTAGTCGCGGAGATATTGGGCCTCGCGTATATTTTCCTCAGGCTTGTGGCAGAGAGTCTGAATCCATTAATAGTTGATTGGTTAACCCTCCCTATGACTATCCCGTTTTTGTTGCTACTGTTATCTCTGCCTATGAACTTCTGTACGATTTTTAAAGCTAAGATCAATAAAATACACCTTTCCAGTACCCGGCTAGCCTTGGCTGTGACGCACATGTTCGAACGTCGATTATTGGGTGAAAAAAAACACGAAAACTGTTCATATTGGTCGGCATAATTACGAATGAGAGTTAAACAGTGCGTTCAATGATTTCAGCAGGTAAATACGATCCACCAGCAGGATAGTAGTATGTGCTGAGAGACGGACTTGAATGACCGACTGTTCTCTTTTTAATGTTGGTCAACTGGATAGCCATTCTGCGTAGAGCATGTAGTTTCAAATTTACAAACGCCCGAGATCTTCATTCGTTGAAGGTTTCTTGAAAAGCCTTTTTTCCATTCGCGCAAACTTTGAGAATAGTCGTCAGATCGGCACAATCGCCTTGAAGGAGTCCATTTTTAGAAACAGCCACACCAGACCGGAAACGTCTCCCGTTCTGAGTAGATGAGGACAAAAAACTTAAGGGGCGTTACCTCCCTAACCTTGCATTTTTCATTAAAATTCCCTTAGATCTTGCCTCCGTTTACGCCCGGTAGCCGCTCTCTGCTACCTTTCCCAGGTTTATACGCCATTTTCGTTGGCATTTCCGCCCATTAAAACGAACACCTTTGACTATTTTCAGATGCCTGGCCACGTACGGGTCCACCAATGTCTGTCGCGATGGCTAATTTAAACTTCCGTCAGTGCAGGCCGCAGCAGAGCATAGCAACGACCTCCACCCTGACAGGAAACCCCTACCAGGCCACCTCCGCATTTTTGCCC